TGCAGCTTAAATGTTTCAACTGATGCATCCTTGTTTTATTCTATATTATATCCTACAATGCCCCCAGCACCTTTGAAGCCCAGCAAGTTAATGGCTCAAATGAATGAGACAAAACTTATTTTCCAGCTGATTAAGCACAACAATGACACATTCTGTTGCCGCTCGTTTCAGCAGGTGAGCCACCAAAAACAAAAGAAATATTCAAAAGCGGAGCAGCACAATTTGTAAATGAATTGGATTCTTGTTGCAGGGATTTTAAGATGAATGGAGGGATCTTAAACATTTACTGAAAAGGGTCTGTTAAATAGGCAGATGAAAGAGAGGGAAACCTTCAGTGGGAGACTGTAAGCCACCTATTTAGAACAGCAGCCAAGCTAAACATATGATCCCTAGTTAAATACAAAACACAAGTCAATGTTTACAAAACAAGTAAGAGGCATTAGACGAAGAAAGCAACGATTACAAGTCTACGCACACACGAACGGCTCGGTTATGATCTCTGCAGCCTACATTTGTACATCGGATTTGATTTGCACTATGCATCATGGCACATGACACTACATCTCCTGCTTCACCACTTTAGCGTGCCTGCAAGCAACACACAGTATGCTTCTTAACCAGCTGCCCACCAGCAGCACTTCAATATAGAAGAAAGACAACCATGTCATGCTCTATTTCACATGGGCCATGTAACTGAGACAGTCCCTCCATTCACCGCTGCCTATCTAAACACGACACCTAACAATGGCAACAATTCTGCCATCTGCCAAATTGGTCCGCAAGTTAGGGATGAGTGGAAAAAAACACGTCCAAACACTGACACAGCCGCCACACTCCCCCCCTTCTTTAAACTATCCTAAATTTTAACTAAGAATTTATCTTCGAAGTTGCATCAACTCCCTCCTCTGTTATCTGTGGTCCGGGCACGTCAATGGTAATAACTGCAGCATGCAGATTGCAAAATAAGTGTTTTAAACAAACACAGCAACAAAATCAATCAACCATTTATTTTTGTGAAAGGAAAAACCTGTTTTTATTTATTTACTACATGTCTCAGGTTTTACAAAAAGCAAACCACCCCTCCTTGAAAAACAAACAGACTTTTACTTAATGTTGTCGAATTGTTGTTACTTAGACTGTTTTTTTTTAAAACTTATTTTCAAGGCAACCAACACAATCTGTTGACAGAGAGCTGCAGAAGGTGCCACACCCCCCTCAGGTAACATGACAGTCAGCTGGTGACCTCATGACAAGTTATCAGTAAACACTGAACTCCTGTCATTCCTGCAGTTATTGCCTCATAACTACACAAATATCACACACACGCCTGCTTGAAAAATGCAACACAGATCCTCCAAATTATTATTATTTTTAAATAAAATAAAAAATCCTGCACAACAAAATAACATAAAAAACAACAGAAAAAGGAAATAACTGCAAAATAGCAGGAATGAAGAGACTGCCTCATTCCTAACGTGGTCTCAGTGTGTACTACAGACTCAACTCCAAAATGGACATTATGTACAAAAGAAAATAAGGAGGAGCCACATGGCAGGTGGCCTCCCGCTCTGGTTTCATTTCAGTATTTTAACTATTGATACCAGCTAGAAAACTACAAAATGTGCACAGTAGTATTGCAGCAAAAGGCGTGTGTGCTCGCTGGCATTTTCTCCTCACAAATGAACACATGAACATGCACAACTCAACTAGTTGCAAAGTAGGAGTCAAAACACAATGGGGACGCAGTAACCACACACGTGCTCATGCATCTGGGCTGCATTTGAAAAGCTGTGTGTGTGTGTGTGTGTGTGTGTGTGTGTGTGTACATACTCCTCCATACACCCAAAAAAACACACACCCAAGAAAAAAGAACATTATAATGATTACCTGAAGTGGGACTAATGGGTCTGCATCCTCTGGTTGCCAGACTTCGACCACGCTGGTTGACATCTGACTCAGAGCTTTGTGGGAGCAAACAAAAAAAAATAAAAATGACATTAACAGTGAGATGTTAGGGTGGGAAATTGGGCAAAAAAAAAAAAAAAATCGATTTGAAATGCACCCGATTGAAGCAGTCGACACATTTAACCTGCAAAAACTAACCCACCTACCACTACTATCACTGGTTATTACAAATGAATACACTAAAGAGCGGTATGACAATCACACAGACAAGTGAGGAAATGACTTCGCCTCGGCAGACTGACAAAGGCTGTGTCTGTGTGTGTGTGTGTGTGTCTGTGTGTGTGTGTGTCTGTGTGTGTGTGTTGCTCCATTAGCAGCACGGTTAGCTCGGTGGCTAACGAACTTGGAAAACATCCTCTCCTGCTAACTGCAGCACTCACTGGCTTGTTGAGCCGTGTGGGGTCACTTTGACATTTTGTAGCTTTATCACAGTGGCAACAGAAGCCGTAAAGTCTCCCCCCTTCCTCCTCCTCCTCCTCCTCTTTTTTTAAGTCCCGATAATATGTTACTTCCTTGCCTGAACAAGTTATCGTTTTCGTTTAACCCAACACAACTAGAAAGGGGGGGAGCTAGCATGGACTAGCAAGGCTGACAAAACATTAGCTACAAAACCCGTTTTCTGTGGGTTAAAAAATAAAATAAAAATAAGCAGCTACTTGTAGATTTATTCCTAACATTTTTTTGCCCGTTTTGGATTTTACACTACAATCTGCACGGTTTAGCTTGCGACCCTATTTCTTCCTGTCAAGTCTTCAGCTAATTTAACAATCGCGTTTTACATTACACCGGAAAAATGAAAGGTGCGGACAAACCTTGCAGCTGTGCCCCTCCGTGCTGTACGCAGGGTAAAAGTAATTGTAGTATTCCGAGTAGTATATTGATCCACGTTTTCCTGTGACAGTGGCTGCCTTGTTGGAAGTCCTGTAGCCCCGCCATGCTGCCCTCTCAGCTAGCAGCCTACCTTGTGTTGCGCTGCGTTGGTCTTTCTTTCCCTCACCGAGCAGCAGCAGCAGCAGCGGCCCTCTTAGTCGGTCCCTCCCCCGCCTCCTCATACACACTGCACAGTGCGGACAGACGCCAGTGTCACTTACAACAAGGGGCTGTTTACGTGTCTGTTGCTCAAGGTGAAAGAAACAACACAATTCATAATAATATGCATGTTTATTGTGCCCTACAGGGGTGGGATCATTTAAATTGCACGCACTCTGTCTCTGGTGTGTTCTGTTGCTTTGAGGGCCAAATAGATAGATGTACTGTTACTTTTCATTCATTTAGTCTGAACCCTTGTTTATAATGACGATATCATTTTATGGGATATTATTGTATATTATATTTCAAATAAGTGAACACAATACCTGCGAGGAGTTTTGTTGTAAAACAAGTGACAGATTTTATATTATTTCCTGTATTAGCGGAGAGTTTTGTTTATACAATTATAATTGTTTGTTCTGTATTATGTATTTTTATTTTTATCATCGATCAATCATAATTAGGCTTCCTTTTTTGACATATAAGTGTTTTCTTGTTCCTGACACTTGGCAATTATTCTATTAGACAATTTACTTTTCTTCATAGAAGTAAACTAAATGCTGAGATACAAGAATCTAAAATCAAGAAGGCCTTGTGACCCCACCTTTGAAGCTTTGGTGACTCCTAATGGGGGTCCGGACCCCCATGTTGGGAACCACTGACTTAAGAGTATTTTCACTGTATGCTACTTTATACTTTTACTTCACTACATTTATTTGACAGCTATAGTTATTGGGGTTTACATACAAACATATGACCATATGATTTTTAAACTATGATGCACTGTTACAACAATGTATAAAAATAGGTCAAATTATCGCCACCTCAAGCAACTACAACATTGAAATGCTACTTAAACATTAATGCACAAGTATATTATATAGTATAACACTCCAAGGGGCATTATGCATACTTTTATTATACTAAAAGTACATTTTAATAAGAATATTTGCATGCTTTTATTTGAGTGAACTACAGGACTTTTACTTACATTGTTGGATTAGTATTTTACTTTTAATTTTCTGCTAAATTAGTAACAATCTGTATTAACCCCACTTTATATGTAATAAAAGCTAAGTAAGCATCAGTTTAGTGTCACGTAATCTTGATGTTCTTGTTTTGGACAATATTCAAAACTAAGTTAAAGTCGTTAGTCAGCATATTTACTGTGTTGTTGATCTCTTCTGAGGACAAGACACGTTTAACCAAAGAGGCTTCAAGTAAAAGCAGTCTTCAAGTTAGAGACAGTGAGGTTAAACTATGCACAACCTCCACAGAGAACTTTGACATTCAGCATGTCAAACTCATGAATCATAGTTAGTAAAGGTTGGGCAGGTACACACATGAACATTGATTCAGGTTACCCTTCTGTGGGTGTGTCAGTTCCACCAAACAAAACTGCAGCTAGGCATTTAGAATATTTTTCTTTTGCAGGATCAGTGTTGCTACAGTCACTAGAGCACTTCTAATAAGGAGCTTAGGGTTGCCACAATAAATATACAACATGTAAGAGCGCTGAAATTTGTGTCTGCACATTGTCTTGTGGCAGGTTATCCTCATCAGTAAAAATAACTGAACATATGCGTTAGGAAGCAGTACAAACAGAAAACCGCCAACACTTTTTAATCAGTAAGCCACAGTATATTTACAAGGATACTTATCTTTCACATAAAATCTGATTCTTAATACTAACATGTTCCTCTAGAATGGTTTAGAGATCAAAATAAAATTACATTCAAAGAATCAACAAAGAACTAACAATATGTTTGCATATCATTTATCTAATAAAAAGAAAACCTAACTGATGAGTAAGACAAGATGAGCATGGAGCACATTTGAAATTTAAATCAACAAACGCAGACACAATGGCAAATAGGTAATTGAGTAAAAGCAGAGTACACAACTACCTGTTTTGCATCTGGTTTGACAGAGAAAAAGGGAGGAAAATAGGCACGGTAATAGTCCTTCTAGACATGTCATGACAACAGTGTTCCTTTTTTTGTTCAGTGTGCAACTCTGCAAAGAAAGTTGAGCTTTTTTAATAGATTTTTGCAATGTTCCAGTCGCAATTTCTAAAGAAATGAAAACACAAGAGATAGGAGATCTTGTGTAAATACATTTGTACACTACACCCTGAGTTTAGTAAGGAATACAACAGCAGAAAAAGGCTTGTAAAACTCAGACGGACATTTTATTTGCAACACGAGAAAAGAGGTTCTGCAAAACTGAAATCTACTAATATTTACAGCACTTGTATACATAACATATCCTAAACATATCCTCTGTAACCGAATTCTCCCATTAGACCCAGTCCACAACATCCCTCCTCCCTCCCCCCAGCAAAAGTGAAACAGGGCAAACATAAGAAAAAAGTGCAAAGGCATTTGATTCCAAACCATCTGTTTAAACCATATAAATTAAATCACTGGCTGCACAGATGTGTTAAGTGTTGATTCCTTTCCATCATCAACTTGGAGTTCTCAGTTTTCATGCAAACAGGTGTCCCAAAAGTCAGGCTGCAAGGTTGTGTTTATCACAGAACCCCCTCACCCCTCACATCCACGACTGGTTGGTGCTTCTCTTCTCCGGTTGCACCGAAGCAACATACCCGCTGATAAAGTCCATCTGGCTGGTATCGGCCCTTATTCAAAGCCCACTACAGGTCATAAATATGAATCCTGGTCTAACACAAAAGACATAAATTAGCACTGCTGAGACCTGGTTTACTGCCCTAAAAACTGAAGCTTAAACTCTTATTTTTCCTCTTACTGCGACAATGAACTAGAGAAGAAAAGCTGGCCGTCAGTCCATGTAGTCAAAGTCCTCAGGGATCCCAAAGGCTTTATTAATGCGGCCGTCATCAAAGGAAAACTTCTTCTTTGTCCATGACTTAATGGAGAAAATATTGTCTGAAAACACAAGTCAAAGTCTTTGTTTGAAGTACACATATGCACTTGCCGTCCCCAGGTGTTATATAGTATTACAGAAAGTACAATCAGTCTGGGATTATGAGAATATCCTTGGACTCCAAGAACAAACCATCTGTGTCATCGCTCTGAAGCGCCTGCTCAGTGTGGTTGTGGCAGATTTGATTATTACTTCCTGAACACAGAACATTTCCCACCAAAGACCATCTCCCACATGGGGAAAAAAAATGGGCAATTAGGGGGAATCTGGTGGGTCTTAACAAGGGGGGGAGGGGGCTCTCTGCCAGAGCTCCAATTTGTGATGCAGATTGCATAAGTGAACCAGTATTTTGCATTCAAATCTTGCTGAGTGAGTCAGGTAGAGCTGTGTGTGATTGAAAACAACTAATGTTCCCAAATTAAGGCTTAACTGTATTTAATTCTGTTTACTTATTTATTCATTATTTTTTTATTTGCATTCTTGGCACCTTCCCTCAACTATCAAGAGGTGGAATATTTGCCAATTTAGGAGCTTCATATGCTTGATGATGAATGCATATAATCACCCATATTAACTTCTAATGCCGTGTTGACTTGTTAACAAAGCAGATAATTTAATGAATGAGATGAATGGGATGATGTATGATGATGTTATTTTACCTTGATAGTCTAATGTAAGAATACCTTCTTGTATACAAAAGTCATACAAGTGCAGCATTTCAAAACATATATTAGTATATACAAGTATATAACCAAATGCACAATTATCTGAGTGCACTTCATTCACATATCTGCTTATGAGCCTACAAGTGGCCTAGATAATATTCAACATAGCTGTAATCAATAAATAATTTATGATCTCTCTATGGCAGTTTATTTTACAATCTAAAATTAGTATGGCTGATTTCAGGGAAAGTGCCTTTTAGAAGTGATTCCCGATACAAGCTGAAAACTGTGAATGTGTCATCCATTTAAAGAGTAAACCAAATAGATTCCTGTAGATTAACATCTGTTTTATCAAGTGCTTAGAGTCAATAAACTGAGTCACGCTATTAGTCCTGTAGGATAATTACTCTAGTTTTGATATGACGATATGCAGTTGAAGTGCTTGAGATTAGCTGTGTCAGGGCTTGTTAAGTAAGTCTTTATGTGTAGGTGTGTCCCAGTGTGACGAGGTTAAAGCCACACAACATCAGTTTCTTTGGTTTTTTTAAACTAAGGCCTGCTGTCACAGAAGAAGTTGCAGCAATAAAATTTAAAACACTAAGAAGGGTTGTTAAATGTACTGACAGCCAATTGAAATACCTGATGAAATAGTGCTGTTAGTTGCAACAGGACAGCTGGAAACATAACATCTTGTAATAAAACATTGCATTGTACTTGTTCTAAAGGCAACAACTGTATATAGTACTGGGGGAAAACAATTTTATGCTCATTACTACCTAATACGTATTCCTAGTGTCCAGCCCAGATGTGGGAAGTACAAGTCATGGAAGAGGCAGATATGACTCACCATTTCTTAAAATGAATTTAATTGTAAGGAAGTAAAGCTAAAACTTGCCAACTAAAACCAACAACGTGACTTTGTTGACCTGAAGAGTCAAAACACTACAGGCCTGGTTGGTTACCATTAAAATCAATTAAATCAATGGAACAACCCCGTCCACAGTAATTATTGAGTTATTTTTGTAATGAATAGTCAAAAGCAATTTTCTCTGAGGCAGATTAAGGCTGAAACTAATGATTAGAGCGACAAGGATTATTAATGAATTAGTCAATTTGGTTTCACATGTGAGGATTTGATGGTTTTCTTTGTCATAAATGTCATATATTTTGGACTGAAAACTGTAATCTAGGAATCTAGCAAATTCTCACATTTGAGAAGCTGGAACCATCAAATTTTTGACACTTTTGCTTGACAAATGACTTAGAACATGGCCATCATAGTTGCAGTTTTCTATTGATCACCTAAATGATTAATCAATTAATTGTTTGAGCTTGACTCCAGGGTCCAGACCTATTACATATGCATGTATTAAACAGATAAAATGACTCACCTGTCCACCTGGAAACGGCCTCTTTTGCTACAACATTTGATTTTCCTGCAAAACAAAATGAATCATATCATATCAATAGCTCAGATCTGTAATTACAGACACCTACTAAACATCCAATGGAGCCATTTCAAAAGACTACCAGTAAAAGGATGAGTGACACTTAATTAAAATGTGTATAAAGACTTAAAAGAGTCATGTTACAGATGAGATAAACAGAACATAATTTTCCATTTGTGTTGCAAATCCACTCACATACTGTGTGTATGTAAAATAGGCCAAACTAATACATGCTTAACGTGAAAGAAGAAAATGTTTTCTGCAACAAATCTACTGTTAGTAGTGATTTAAAAGAACATAAAACTGTCACCAAACACTGAACACAAGACAGAAAATATACTGGGAACGTGGACATAAATACAGGCATACTGTATGAACAAGTGGTGATATACTATTAAAGACAGTTCAGCCTACACCTCCTCTGCAGCTGTAGCTGGAAGGGTCATCTAGAAACCTGAAATAAAGCTGAAAAAATGTGCTCTAACTGCATAGCTCTTATGTTTTAAGTGACATATTCGGTGATCCATAAAACTGAAAACAACAGCAGGTAACATCATTAAGTTGCTAGGCACCTGGAATAATCGCTTTACCTTTTACCAGAAGTTAAAAATAACCTTTTGTTGAATCCATAGCAACTATTGACACTTATTTGGCTGCTGTGCTTAGGCTGCAGCATCTCCAGCCAATATAAGCTATTTTGACAGGTTTGGCAGATTTCTCTATGATTTGTCCTTCATGAAAAATCAGGAGAGCGATATGGGCATACGCTGCTTGAGCCTAAAGCTGCAATTTTCTCACACACACCATTCCAGGTCATTTCAGCATTTATTGATAAAGACACAGTGGAAACAAAGTGAATAACCACAAAAATAAATAGCTGCTGCAAGTGGGAGGGACTGAATTGAATAACTTTTAATAACTCATGAACCTAGAGACGGTGTGATTTTACATTATGTATGAGAATTTGGATGCCAAAAGAAACACAACTGAGGGGTACATAAGCAGGCAAACATCTTAACCACCACCGAACAAACCAGCAGCCGTTAGGCCCACTGAGCTTTGATTTTTGGTTTGATTACAGGAAGTTGCGCCCCATGTTTACCTACTCGTACAGCAGCTGGACCCCACAACGGAGTTTTGCCCTCCAGCGGCCTGGTTAATCCGACTGCCGCCTCTTTGCCGCGGTGTCATCCCCTCTCTCTCTACCGACCTTTTCTGTCTCTCTACAGCTGTCCTATCCAATAAAGCCAAGAAAAGGCCAAAAAAATAACAAAAATAAATAAATAATAAGTCTGAGTTGGCCTATATAATTAATGTTCTAATCTGCTGTCCCTGGCCACCAGATGTTAAAAGGACACCCTAAACACTGAATGAAACAACAAATCGTATAAAATTAATATATACACTCACACAACAAAATAAATACCATGCACAAGATAATATACAGTACACATCCACCAATAAATGATGCCTTTGGTAAACATATAACTTCCAAGAATTCCAGAAACCATCAATAAATCTGTGTACTTTAATGGTTTCCCTTCAATGCGGTTGTAAATACAACGTGGAAGTTCATGTGCAACTTTTTAACTCTGGTTTCTATGGGTGTGGAAACTATTGTCAAAGATTTTGACCTGACAAATCCAATCTTAATCAAAATGCTGTCAATATTATTATGAATTGTTTTTATTATTAATATGTTCTTCTTATTTTGTATCATTCAAAATACCGTTCATAAAATCCATTAATGGTTTAAATGTACGTGCAATAATTTTAGTGCTGCAGTGTCTTAACTAGAGCTCAAATGTATGTTTTAAAACAATGAAAAAAAAAAAATCACAATTTAAACTACAAATGTTATAAAGTGGGGATATACAGCTTCTAAGGGCCAAATAAACCCCAATCCACTCACATTACTTATCTACACAGAATGTGTGGAATCGTTTTCCCAGAGTATCCCATATGAGAAGAAGGGGCTGTGATGAAAGAACTATTATCAGGACTGAGACCACTGAGGCAGAGTCCTACACCAGGTCGGGTAAAAATAAATGAAATGCAGAGAAATCAGAAATGAAAATCACTATAAAGGCTTTTTAACATTTAAACCAGTTAAATACTGTCAAGCCTAATCAGCCGGCAGGATTTTATTTTATTATGAAAGCTGCAAGCTCTCACATCCTCTGAGGAAACGTACAGCGGCAGAAGGAGGACACGTGCTGCGCCAGCTAACCTAAATTTTTCCAATAACGAGGCTCTCAGACCCCAAAACTGTTGTAAAGTTCGTATGCCAAAACGTCATAGTTTAAACCTGTGTAAGGAGATGGATTTAACAAACTCACACAGGGCTTAATTGACCTTGGTGCCCAGCTTGTTGTGTGGACGCAGCAGTAGCAGCGTAGTGAGTAACAACAGTCGGTGACTGATTCAGCCAAACGGTTAATCATTATTTTAGTTCATGTTTCTACATGTTACACTTAATTATTATTATGTAATTATGTAAATATGTAATACATAACTGCGCCAGTAAAAATATGACTGTGTGTGTAGCACGGGTCACGGGTTGGATGGTAGGTCTTATATTAACGGGTCGGGTCTGGATTTGATTTGAAGATAATTGTGGGTAACAGGTCAGTTCCGGCTCTGAGCTCTATGCAAGCAGCTTTGCAATACTAGATCCGTGTACGACTCTGCACTGATGTCAATGCCTCTTTATTTTAATTTGAACTGTATAATAAAATGTTTTTTATTAACCTGGGTGAGTTAAAATGTACTGTTAAATTTCTCCACTGGTCTCAAAAGATATTTGTTCTAAAGATGCTCCCTGAACCCCGTCTGCATGAATCCCATATGCAGTAACAGGTCTGAGCCTATTTTGCAAGTTCAGACAAACCCCCTCAACAGTACACATAACATCATGTCACTCACCTTGTGCAGAGCTGCACGCAGCTCTTAAAGCACAATTCAAGTTTCACTAAGGGGAGATGGTTATCTGTAACTAAGCTCTCTCTCTGTGTGTGTGTGTGTGTGTGGTGTACTTAAAAGAGAATACAATAAGATATGCAAGCAAACGGAAATTAGGTTTCTCTTCAAAGTAAGAGAAAGCGTCTCTTTTCTCTGTCGCACTAACTCTTGGGTTTATCTATTGAATCTGAGAGCATTATGTATGTATGATCTTTATCACATTATGTAATGTTCACTGTCACATGCAAGAACACATATGTAGTTGAGAGACTGAAACGTTGCCATGAACTCAACTTTCAGTAGAGAAAGCCACCAACCAATGAGAGTTGGGGTATCTCCTTTTACCAGATCAACACAAATCACTGCCACAAGTCAGAGAGCAACTCCACAGAGTGAACACAAGAGTTCACATAGATGTCAGTTAATAGATATGAAGGCCCTGGATTCCACATATACCCCTCGGGAATAAAGATAAACATCTAATATCGCTGTTTCATTTTAAAACAAGATCATACAATACAACGCCTTAACCTAAATGCATTCTACCATAATGTTTTATTACGTTTGTCTGTATTTTAAATGGGATAGCCCCCTATTAAACTTTGTTCGGATTGCTGTAAAAAACTTTCCTGGGGTTTGGATTCAAGCAGACAACAGCTGTTGCAATGATTAAGCTTGGCAATAAGTTCATCGCAGGCACCAGAGGCCGAGTTTCTGCAGAGGGTCTTACAATGTGACCATAAAGTTACCTCCCTGGGACCCAAATAAAAACGTTATAAAGACATTTTGGATTTTAGCTTGTTTTGGTTCCAAGCTAAAAATACAAACTTTTTTCATCATACACATCTACCAAACAGTGTAGAGACTATTTAGCCTGTACATTATGTGGTATCAGCTGTAGTATAAAAAAAAATTTATATCAAGCACTTTTTTCTTTTTTTCTGGGTTACTTAAGTTCTGCTGTGAAAATTCACTTTCGATTTACACTTAAATCCTATTTAAGAGCATTTATTGCCCAAATTCTTTGAGAAATTTGGCCTTGATTATACAGACGTGCTGTGCCAAATACTCAATATACTGGAAATTCATCCTAAACAATAAATCCAGCTAAGTCTTCATAGACATTATGGCTTTTACTGAATGTAATTATTTTAACTGGAAGATTGCTCTATCATGTATCTTTACTGGTTACCTACCTAAGCCCCCAAACTGACTTTATTCAACTCATTTTGAATCAAAAATCAAATCAAAAATGTTTAATTTGGATTAAAAATAAATGCTTCAGCAATTATTTGCCTGCCTGTCCATGTGATTGTCAGTAGACGAGACAATATTGTCACGTTGGGAGTGGAAAATAACAGCAGAACTGTGGGCAGACTAAATGCATGCTTGGTGTAACATTGGGAGGTGCAGGTAAACAGACCAGGTATTTTTATGACAACACACATGTCACATGTGTGCATAAAGTAACACACCCCCTTTACCACAGGTCAGCTTAACACAAGGCAGTAGAGGATTTTCTGTAACACTGCTAATAGCTATGGGAATTGTGTGGAGACATGCAACAGCTAGTACATAAATCAGTGGCTAGTGGCCTTGACTTCTGCTTTTAAAAGCTTTGAAGTCCAAAACTCTTCAAGGTGAGTGGTCAGAGGTTACAAGTCTCAAGTAGACCACAATTAAAACTGACATACATGTTTTGAGAACAGACCAGAACAATGACGCCTCTGTTTCAACAGGAGGGTTAACATTGTTCACACGTCATGTCTTGTATCGACATTTAGTTTGTGGTTCAAGCTGACAGTTTAAAACTGACATAAGAGTGTGTCAAGTGACCACTTGTGATCAGTTTTCACTTCCTTGCTCACACTTTAACTGTGAGAAACTGTGACTCTGCTGCCAAACAGACAAAATGCATGTTTGTTCTCAGCAGTACAATTATAGACGGGGACTCCTGTGACAAGTATCTGCATCTGAACACAATGTCCAAGCTGTGTGACAGACAAACTGTATTCAACTGTGTTAGGACACACTGTACTCGTATAATAGGTATTCCTTCAATGTAGTATGGTGAGCAATTGCATTCATACAGCTAAACTACATATGAATGTGGTCATGGTGTCCCTCGTCACCACTGAATTTGGATAGAGCATCTCGACATCTATTTAATGCATTTGGATGCATTCACACTTTATTTCGAGCTGTCTGAAAATCCAAGATAGCGTTCAGTGAAATGTGTGAAGAGGGAATTTGAGGGTGTAAAGTGTGTTTCTCCATGTTGCTGCTTATGTTTTTTTTAGCACTACAAGTAGGTGATTTTGATTGGTGGCCAAGTTCATTGCAGCACTGTTTATTGGAGTTTTTTCCCTGGTATCATTTATATTGATGTACCTATCTCTGTGCTAAATGGTTGATGTGCTGAACAGCTAAAAAAAAGTGTGAAAAATGTTTATGTCTGACAACTGGTTTAAGGTCTCCTTAATATTTGACCATTTCTGGGAGACAACACTCAAATAATCCAGTTCGTAATGCACAATTTTGTGTTCATTATCTGGTGTGAAACCACTTATTCATGGTAGTTTGAGTCATATAAAAGCCTCTCAAATGGTTTGTTTCTTGGACGTTGTCCAACTCTGTCCTCTGTCTCTCTCTTCTTAATGAGAGATCCTCACTGGATGCGACCAGCACCATCTGCCTTGACGAGCCACCTGATGTTAAAATCCAGTGCTCCATCTTATTCTCTTTGATGAGTCTAATTATGAATACAAATCTGAAAATTGGCAAATTAACTGCTTGTACTGTTTAACTATGTTGTCAGTGATGTGAGACACAGATTTCTCTGGTCGATGATCATAAGGGACTTGAGGGATGCTAAAACTTAAAACTGACTTTTTGAAAAACCGGTCATGTTGCAATCTGTACTCACTCATCTCCTCAACGACTTCTGGGTCACATTCCCTGTATTTCTCCAACTCAGCCTGCAGCTGAGTTCGCTCCTCTCTCAGAGCGTTCAACTCCTTCAGCAGGGAGCTTCTCTCCTTCTGCACACACAGAGATCATTTTGTGATGTTTATTTGACTGTAAATATGAATTAACTTGGATTATTCATTATATTTAATCAATTGTGTTAGATATATTTTCCCATACAAGATGGAGAAGCATATAAAAATATTCTTACTGTATCTTGACGTCCCACTTTAGCTTGTTCAACCGCTTTCTGTACAGATACTTTTCGCTGCTTTGCTTGAGAACTCTGGAAAGTAAAAGAGTGTTATGTCAGGCGTATGTGACACCAAACTGCTACCAAGGAAAAATAGAGATTTTCCGGTAGTCTGCCATAAAGTCAATTATACTGTTCAAAACATAGTTGTTTGAACTTGGTGAAAACAGTTACTAAGACTAACCAATAATCTCCTGAAACAGATCAATACTGGATACCAGAGAGCAGAAACTAAGCTGACCTTTGTAGCTTTTAACTGTTATGTTTACGCCCTTAAAATCTTAACTGAACATGACATTAGAGGATAATGGTTTATTGGCATTATTGATGATTACAATGCTGTAAATTGTACTGTTACAGCATATTCTATAATTAAGTAAGGAAACATTTGTTTGTACTCCAACTTCATACATAGTTTAAATAGCCAAGAGACCCTTATTTACATTTTTTTAGCCATAACAAATATAAACCTGCATGTATATGATAATCACACGTATAGATTAATAGATAGACAGATTAATCGGTCAGCCGATTACCTGACATTCTGAGATAATCTACATTGGCCAATGCCCATTTCATTAATTATCAAACTTACCATGTTACTGGCTAAGATAACCATGTTTATCAGACTGTAATATGCATAATATAATGGGATTATACAACTTTTCTTTGTTTTGATATCTGCATTTATCTGTGCGCTCTAAATATCTGCATCTGCCATTGAGAAACCCATGATGGTAGAACGCTAATCACACATCATTATTTTGTGACAGATTGCTGCTCTACAGCATTTAACTTCTGTCCCTGAAATCTGGTGGCCAACATTTTCTGAGGAGTCACCTCCCTCACACCATCTGTCTGCCGCGCAACAGGAGAGGGAAGTGGGATGCAACAGACAACAAGAAATTCAAAGACAAGCAGCAGTGTTGCTTTCTGTGCCAACAAATCTCTATTAAAAAAGGTGTAACAAGAGAGCTCCTAAATAGTTATAAATAGGGTTCATTATTTAATTTTTTGGGGGGCGGG